GGTAACAAGGCGTTATCGCTTTCTTTAACTATGTACAGATTTGTCTTCCCGCCTGCTTGCTCAACTTGAAGGACCATGGTAGCCTAGCCACTTTCGCATGATCGGGGGCGGCAAAGAGGGGGGTGTCCAAGAGGGAGGGGTGCAAATCATGACCGGCCGCACTTGCGCGGCCCAGCGGGGGGGGGCCAGGGACGTAATGGAATAAGAAGAGGCGCCATGAAATCGCCATGAAATCAGGGGAAACATCATGGCCCCCGCCATGATATCCACCCCCCCCGTAGTCATCACCCCCTCTTTCCCGCCCCCGACATGAGACCCTCGCTCCTTTGAGTTGCGAGATGCCCGGAGCAGCTGGTCTGGCCACTACCGCCTGAGATACGCATGTGCGTGCGCACACATAGTTACACATACCATTTGCATATACATGTACACGCCCAAACATACGTATATGTATATGCACATGTGCAGTATGCTTCCATAGGCGCATGCGTGCGCGCATGTACGCACGCGCGCACCCCGCTAACGTGCGAAACTCTAAAGGACCAAGGTGCATGGCGCGCAGCGCCAATGCAGTCTTGTATATGCATATACATGTATATATATATAATGATACATATGTATATATACAAGACTGCATTGGCGCTGCGTGCCAGGCATCTTGGTTCTTTAGAGTTGTGCGCGTTCGCGGAGTGCGCGCGTGCGTACATGCGCGCGCATGCGCTTATGGAAGCGCACGACACGTGTACATATAAATATACGCGTGTATGGGTATGTGCCTGTATCTGCGAGAGGTACATGTAACTATGCGCGCGCATACACATGCGTATATCAGGCGATAGTGGCCTCACCAACTGCTCCCTGCATGGGGAAGTGGGAGAGAGAGGAAAACTGGTTTTGCTAGAATATGGACGGGGTGGGGAGGAGGGACATGAAGAGGATCAGGAGGAGGGGGAGGAGGAGGAGAAGGAGGAAGAGGAGGAGGAGGAGCAGAACCAGCGGAACATACAAGGAGGAAAGGCTGCGAGGAGGAGGAGCAGAGAGTATACAGAGAAGGAGGAGGAACAGGAGGATAACGGGAAAGAGAAGGAGGGAGACGGGGAGAAGAAGGATAGAGGAAAAGAACTATTGAAAGGCTTTTGGGGCACCATTGGAGCTCAGTGTTGGGAGCCCTGGTGTTATGTAGCGTTGTTGGGCCTCTTGGGAGTCTTCTGGGGGCCCTTTTGGATTCATTGTAGGGCCCTGTTGGGGTTTTCCTGGGTCGTCTCGGGGCCCTTTTGGGCCGCGTTGGGGCGTCTCGGAGGCTTTTGGCCGTCGTGGGGCTCTCCTGGCGGCGTTTTGGGGCCCTTTTGGGTGCCTCCTTGGGCGCTTTTGGGGCTCTCTTGGGCCCGTCTTGGAGCTCAGTTGGGCTGTCTTGGGACTCTCTTGGATCGTTTTCGGGCTCTTTGGGGGGCGTCACGGGCTATCTTGGGGCGATCTTTGGAGCCTCTTGGGCCGGTTCGGGCTGATGGTGGTCCGAAAAAAGGGAGAACCAGAAAAAACATTGAAAACCATACAAAAATCAATGACATTTCCCTCCTGGGGCCCTCTTGGGAAGCCTTTTGGGGGCCTCTTGGGGCGTCTCGGGGCCCCCTTAGACGGTCTTGGGCGGTCTTGGGGTCTCTTGGAGCGCTCTTGGGCTGTCTTGGAGCGCGCGTGGGCCCCTCTTGGGAGTATCTCGGGCCGTCTGGGGCGCTTCTGGGACCGCCCGAAAATCCCGGAGAAGGCCGAAACTCGTTTGGGGTGGGGGGGGTTCCGTCTGGGGTCCGTCCGGGGTCCCCGGCCATATACAAGTATATAAATAGGAATATGTCGATTGATATTTGGATAAATAATAACAATCTAGAGAAACGGATACATAAATTGATATCTGTATGATCACGACGGCAAGGACCTCGATCCCCCTTTGCTCCAGGCTCCAACCTGCTACGCTTGGGGTCTACCCACAGACGATGTCATCCTGAAGTTCGGCGTCTCTGCAACGCACGTCCAGGGATTTTTCCAGATTCGCCAGGCGAGCCTTGAAAGGCTTCGGTGGGTTTGCGGGCTCCTTCGGGACACAAGTATGGCTTAACAGCGGCACGAGAAGAAACAGAATGGTTCGGCTTGCGCCAGCGTTCCATCCAAACGAGCACCTCCCGTATTGGAGAAGCCTTCCGGCTGGAGCCGCCGACCCTGAACGACGACGACGACGACGGCGGCGACGACGACGACGACGCAGGCGACTATGGACCAAGACGGCCTCGAAGGCGCCGGCGAAAAGCAAAGACGACGACGACGACGACGACGACGCCAACGACGACGACGACGACGACGACGACGACGACGACGACGACGACGACGACGACGACGATGCCAACGACGACGACGACGACGCCAACGACGACGACGCCAAATGAACACCTCTCGTAGTTCGGAAACCAGGCCCCCCAGGGAGCCCTTGGCGCCGCCGACCACGCCCAGAGACCTCCCCCTCGAGTGGTACCTCCCCACCCTCGGGGACTCCCAATGAGATCACGGTCGCGTTCTCCGGATTCTCGGGGGGGGGGGAGGGGGCCGAGAGGCGGGGCAAGGTGCAGAGGAGGAAAAGATACCCATACCAGTACCCTTCACCCGGTTTCCCTTCTGTCGGTATCATGGGAGATCCTCGTCGCCACCGCTGGATTCGCCCCGACATTCATGTCAGAGTGCACCCCGGGAAAGGTCCGGGGAGAAGCGCTATTGGTACCGTTTGGTCTTCCCGGATTTGGAGCGGAGGCGAAGGAGAGGGAGGGGAGGAGAAGGGACTACTCTGAGGAAGCATCCTGGCCAGAAGGAGCGGACGCATATAGTTGCTCTCCAGCGCAGCACAATGTGCGAAAGCTCTGGAACGAGAAGGAGGAGGGGGTGGAGAAGAAGGAAGGAGAAGAGGACGGGGATGATGATGAGGAGGAGGAGGAGGACGAGCACGATTTCCTTTGAGCTTCCTGGCACCCACAACGCATGGGAGGAGGAGGTGGAGGAGGAGGAGGAGGAGGAGGAGGAAGAGAAAAAGGAACAGGAGGAGGAGGAGAAGGAGGAGGAGGAGAGGAGCGCAGGATGATGGCAACGAAGAGGAGGAGGAGAAGGAGGAGGAAGACGTGGAGGAGGAAGGAGGAGTAGGAAGAGGAAGGAGTAGGAAGAGGAAGGAGTAGGAAGAGCAAGGAGGAACTGCCAGAAATAAGCCGCCCGCGCCGAACACTCGTACGCAGTACCGTGACTGAGCTAACAGCAGCCTAATTCGGTTTGGTTTAGCTTCGCAGGGATTGGCGCAATTATCTAGAGCAGCTCTATCTTGACTTGTCCAGATTACCCAACGTGCCCACAGATCACCCCCAGCTCAGTCGGAACTGTTTTCACAGATCGTACGCGTTGCCAAGACGATGAATGACCCGACTCTAATCCAGACGCTCACGCTGGAGTCACTGTTTTCAAGTGGTGCGCGTAGCTGTCAGGCGCGCCGTCACGGGGTGTTCGCCGCGCATTGGAGCACGGCGGCTCGAAACCCTTTTCCACATGTACTGATAATTATGTGGCCGCAGCCTGTTCCTCCCGCATGCTTTGGCGAATCGTTGAGATGCTGCTGGGCCCGCGTTCGGGGGGCGTTTCTTGCACGTGCAACGCATCGTGCACTTGTTCAACCAGCAGAAACAGGTATACGTATCCTCCGATGACGCGGACGCGGACTCCGCACGCCTCGCAGAGCCAGCGTTGCTGCTGACTATTTCTATATTAAGTTCTTCCTCCTCCTCCTCCTCCTTCTCCCCCTCCTCCTCCTCCTGCTCCTCCTCCTCCTCCTCCTCCTCCTCCTCCTGCTCCTCCTCGGGCATGGCTCTGCATAAGCAGGGCTTCAGTGCGGGGGGGGGGGGGGGTTCGGCCAGGTCCTCTTCGATACTGGGAAGCGTCAGCCAATGGCATCACCGTGCACGCTTGCCCCCTGGCTACCAGTCTGCAAATCCTGCATTCGCTCTGTAGCAATAGACACATGAGCACGCACTGCTACTTGCAAACGTGAGCTAGATCACGTGACAACGTGTTCCTTGTTCAACTCAACACGTACGCATGGCGTTGTAGTTTCCAGGTTGTTCTTGGCGGCCCCAGGACCTTCCCAACGACCAGACAGCTCCAGGACGTCCCGTCGGACCCCGGAGAGACTTCGAACAGGTCTCCAAGGCCACGCAGCGGGCCTGGAGAGCCTTGCTGAAGGGCGATCGGGCGCGATACAAACTGGAATGGAATACCGCGGATGGTCACACTCGTGACCATTGTTTTGCAAAAAAATGCACATCCGGTTCGGAAGCGGGCATTCGCTCTCTTGCGCTGGCTTGCTTCACGAGCTACACTATCTCTCTGGGATACTTTGTGGCGCGGCGATCGCTGAACGCAGAAAGCTCCGCGCTCGAGAAACGAAGAGCAAGCATTAGAGCGCGCATGTAATCATGAGGAGAAGGGAGATGGAGGCCAAGCAAGCACTCGGCCAGCAAAAGAGGAACCACAACAGCAATATCCAAACATAGGATGCAGTTGGCACCGAGGAGGACGAAGATAGAGGAGTACGCACGCCGAACAACAGCGACCTTTAACAGAATGCGATTGCCGGGCTTGCAACCGCAATCCAGTAGCAGACTTGTACATGTGACCTGTTCCTAGTGCTACTTCGCATGTCACCGCACATGAGTACCCTGATTTCTCGTTTTGTCTCGAGCTCTCCCTTCTTCGCCCGCCCTCTCCCTGTCTGAACCACTATCTCTCTGCCTCTCTGTCTCTCTCTCTCTCTTTGTGTGTGTCTCTCTCTCACTCTCCCCCTCTCTCTTCCCTTCTGGATGTATATATCTACATGCGTGCTTGTTAGGAAAAGCGGCTGGCATCGAGCACTCCACGTCCCCAACCTGGCCATCCAGTCCCTCCTTCCTCTTCTCTGCTCTCCCCGTATCTTCCCGCGCGAGGACGCCTTCAGGGTGGGTTTCGCCGTAGTTGTGAGTCGCCCCCCGCTGCCTGTCGTATCTTAGGCTGTTGCTCAGAATGCTGTGATCTTGCTCTGCGCACCGAGCCCGAACTCCACAGCAAACCGTCTCGGGGCCCCGGCCCGAAGCGGCGCGACAGAGGCCGGACGTGCAGGTGTCGAGGGTTCGCCTTATGGAGGCCTCGTTGGCCGTTGAGCATCTCGCAGATCGGACCAGCGCAGGGCATCACGCACGCAGACTGGATCTGGTGCCACGGGCCTTCAGCATCGTCATGCTCCAGACACTGCCCCCAGGCATCCGACGGCTCGACGGTTGGGAGTCGCAGTTCCCTTAGGCTTTCGGTTCTTCATCCCGAGTGTTCTTTGATAGTCAGGAGGTCCAGACGGGGCCTCATGGGACGCCGAGAAAGGGGGGGGTAATAATCACGCCGTCCCTCGAAGGTCCAGAGAATGTCGGCGGCGCGCGGCAGTGGGTGGCGCGAGTGAACGGCGTTCTAGGAAGGCGAGGGGGTCATTGGATGCTCTCCCGCCTTTTCCGAAGCCTTCTCTGACGCCCCCGAGCGCTCCTCAGAAGCCTCCTGCCTTCTTAGAATGCCCCCTCCCCTCCCTCGCACTGCGAGTTTCTGCACGCCGCCAGGAGTGGTGGCTTTGCAGACACTGGGCGCGGACGCCTAGGGATCGAGAACGCAGGAGGAGGGCGGATAGAGGTTCGAATCAATCATTTGATGATTCTGTGCGGTTCTGGACGAGGATCGGGGGGTCGTCTCCCCCCTCCCCCCCAAGAGGAGGGGGTAGCAATCCCCCTGGCGATCCCCTTTTTGCACTGCGGCTCTGCCGAGCCCAAGCTGGCCGAAATGGGGACGATTGGGCGATGACTGACAGCAGTTCTCCACAACAGTCTTGGGCAGGGCCTGATGTCGATCTCGAGGAGAGCCTGGCCGGCTCACGGGGCGAGTGTCGCTTAAGAGTGACCTTTGGTGCGCGGCTTTTTGGGGGCCGCGGGGGGACCAAACCTTGGCGCGCAAGCAGCTGCTGCTGTTTCGCTTTCGACCACCTGGGGACCCATCTGTGCCCGCACGAAAGGTCACTCCTGCGAAAGGCCACTCTCACGTCTAGTCGATTACTTGGCAGCAGCCGCGGCCCGTTTTGGGCAACACCTGTGCTGCTCGGCGCACCTTCAGTCGCGGGCGCATCAACACCCTGCACTGCGGCCTTCCCCGCCGGCTCCACGGCTGCTGGGAGCGCGCAGGGCTGCCGCTCGCACCCCTCGGAATTCGAGAGCCGCAGCGAATCCTGTGACTGCCTTTCCCCGTCGGCGCGCACCGGGCGGGCTGGCGAGGCGCGGGGGATCTTCAGCCTCTCTCCGTAGACGCGCCGACGGCGATGCAGGTGACGGCGAGGCAGGTTTCGGCACCGTGGGAAGGCGCGGCTCGCGCTTTCCTGCAACTCGCTGCGTCGTTGTCGCTCGATGCCTCCGCAGATCGGAGGTGTGGGGAAGCGCGGTGCGTGATTCCCTGGAGTTCGGTTTCCATCGTCGCCGTGGAGCAGCATCGCCGTCAGCGTGGCCCTGGTAAGGTCTGGCTTCTTCTGGGCCTCCTGGGGGAGCCCTCGCGAGGCCACGGCCGGGCGCGGCTGGAGAGCCGCGCCGGGACGCACCGCCCCAGAAGGCGGGCGGGGACTTTTGGACGCCCTGGCGTCCACCGGGTCCTCCCTCCACCTCCTCCCTCCTCCCTCCTCCCTCCTCCTCCCTCCTCCTCCCTCCTCCCTCCTCCTCCCTCCTCCTCCTCCTCCTCCTCTCCCTCCTCCTCCTCCTCCTCCTCCCCCCTCCTCCTCCCTCCTCCCTCCTCCTCCCTCCTCCTCACATGGGTACAATTCCCAACAACAAATGTTGTCCCAAACCAACAGCGGCCGCTGTTGGGGAGGTGGCCTTCTGTCTCGAATGGACAGCCCGCGGCGGCGCGGACAGCGAGTCCTGTCCAAAATGAACAGGAACTGCTGTTGGGCATTGTACCCATTCTTTCCGTACCCATTTCGGGCGTCCAGAGGACTGGTCTTGAGCGGGCGTGTGCGGGAGGCAAAGAGGAGGGGGGCGGCCGTCCAAGAAGGCGGGTTTTTTTTTGGCCACGGCGCCGGCATCGCGGAGCGGACGTCGTCCGGAAGGCGACAGGGTGGGCCCGGTCGGGAGCCTTGAGACGGGGGTCAATGCAAACAGTGGTCAGCCAGAGCGCCCGATCTTGCAGGATCCTGCAGGGCCATGGTCGCATTGACCCGGGTGTGTCGGGCCGAACGACATGGGGGGGATAGGGAAAGGGGGGGTACGAAATCTGCTGCATGCAGCGGGTTTCGGCCCCGTCGCCGGGCGCCGGGAAAATCAGCTACGTGAGCTGATTCTCAAACCCCCCCGTTGCTATCCCCCCCCTTTCGCCCGGCCCGAGTGTGGGTGCAGGATCCTGCAGGATCTTGCAGGATCCTTCGCGTTGACCCGGGTTTGGGCGCAGGATCTTGCAGGATTTTGCAAGGGCTGATTGACCCGGATCTGGATTGACCCGGGTCAGAACATCCCCGACCTGGAGTGTCCTGGAGAATCTCGTTCTGGGATTCGAGGTGACGTTCGTGTTGGTTTTTTGTTTTGGCCAGGAAGACTACGAAACATAAACGCGAAATTCACCCGTTTTCCGCTCGGCGATTCGGTGTTTTGCATGGGCAGAAATCCAGGCAAAAGTCCGATGCAGCACGTCTGCAAGGTCGGTGGGGTGACTTATTGGAAGGAATCTGGGGCTTACAGTGAGGACTTCCTTCAGGAGGGGAAAAAACACAGACACAATTAATCGTCGATTCCCAGGAAAATATGGGAAAATGTGGGAAGTGGGGGGGAAGACAGAAACCCTGAAAATATATAGGGAAATATGGGGAGTCTGTTTATTTGTGTGTATTTATTTGTGTGTCCCAGGGCCCCTTCAGGAAGGCTTCCCAAGAGCCCCTGGACACGAGCTTCAAAAGAAATCCTCGCGTCTCGCCGCACCCCCTCGTGCGCGCCGCCAACGCTGCGCGCTCAGAGTTGAATGCCTCGTTGTCTCCGTGGTTTTTCCGTCCTGCCAGCAGCGCTGCACCCTGGCCGATTGAGCCGGGAAGCGCGTGCGCCTGGCAGGTAAGAGAGGCGCCCTCGCTCTGCGATGATGACCAGACGGGGGGAGCAAGTCTTCAGAGAGAGACGATCTTGACCGAAACCGGGGGGAGCAACTCACCAGCGCAATACAAGATTGACCAATGGATCCCCTGTTCACACTATGATACGATTGCAGCCTGGCCAACTTCGTAAGACCCCCGTTTGTCTCCAAACACAATCGGTGAAGGTGTTCGCTTGATTCCAGCTCGAACATACTGCATCGGCGTGCCAGCGCAAGTTTGGAACGAGGGCGTCGAATGAGACCTCCCAGCGAGGCGGCGTCGAAGCCCTTCGTATGCAGGAACAGCACCGTGCGAAAGAGAGAAACGGGGAGCAGCCCTTGCCCACCGCGTGCTGCACAGACAACCCGGAAGAGGACGAGAGCCGCCGCGCGAGCGGCGGGTTTGGCCCAGCCCCTGCAGGAAAACGCCAGGCGGGAGAGAGGTGGACGCCTTCGCGTGCGCGGCGGCCCTGGCGCCGCGCGCACAAAGCGAAGGCAGGAGCGGCGGTGGTCGCCGCGGACGCGCCTTGGCTCTGCCCCACCCGTGCCAGAAGACGACGCAGGGGAGTGCCAAAGCTGCCGCGCGCGCGGCGGCTCTGGCCTGCTGCGAGGGCCTCGCGGCAGGGCGCCGCCGACCCTGAACGCGGGACCAGGACCCCTGCTGGCGACCCCTCCCGCGCAGGAAGGGAAGAGGATCGACTTCATTGGGACTCTCTTTCTCCCTGCTCCTCACTTTCTTTGGGACTGTCAGCGTCGACGACGACGATGACAACAGCGTGTCTCACTCGCCGAAGCGTCGGCGGATTTTCATGTTGGCGGCCCGATTGGATACAATTGACAATCGAGCAGTTTAGATGCTTAAGGCAAGTGCAGTTGACGGCGGTTACATCGCTGAGACCTGGGAGGCACAACGTAGTTTCGGGTGCCCCGGTCGCCAAGGCAACGTGCCCAAGTTGTGTGGTGGCAAAAGACCATGGCGAAGGCAGCATGCCAAGCGCCATCCCCAGGAGAGGGAGGCGTCGTTTAGGAGCAGCCTCGCTAGGGCCCAGCACAAACTTTGCTGAACAGATGGACTGCAGGTGTAGCGGCCAGCGCTGTGCAAATACGGTTAAGTCGGGCATCTTTCTCCACAGGAGGAATATTCAAGAATAGTAGAAAAGTAACTCGTCAGGTGACGGTTTGTTGTGTTCTTTTGCTCGTGTTTAACTCCTCTCCCAGAATCCGCCGGCAGGAGGACATGCCCGACCTAAAAATACGGGCCAGAGAGGTGCGCTCGCAGGGTGCCATGGGCATGTCCAGCAACCGGCACGGGCTTGCAGGCCAGGGAGCGGGCGGGAGGGGAAGGGGCCACATGCGAACCCTACCCCTGCCCCCCACGATTTCTGAGGGGGAGGGTGGGGTTCACTTCGCTCGGGAGCTCCCGAGCGAAGTGAACCCCAACCCCCCCCCTCAGAAATCGTGGGGGAGGAGGAGGAGGAGGAGTAAGAGGAGGAGGAGGACGAGGAGGAGGAGAAGAAGGAAGAGGAGGAGGAGGAGGAGGAGGAGGGAGGAGGAGGAGGAGGAGGAGGAGGAGGCGGAGGAGGAGGAGGAGGAGGAGGAGGGTTCGCACGTGGCCCCCTATGCAGGCCAGGGAGCGGGCGGGAGGGGAACCGGGGCGAGGTCCCAGGAGCCTCCGTCGAGCGGGCGGGGCAGGGGGGGGGGACCCGGGGCAGGGGCGGGGAGCACGGCCAAGGCAGTTGACGGCGGCGGAGGGCAGAGAGGACCTGGGCCGGCTGGAGACAAGACGGACGGACACACTTTTTTGGTCTGCGGGTCGGGAGCGGGCCCCTTCCGGTCAAGAGCTA